CCCCCAAAACCCCAAAACCCCAAAACCCCTCTGCTTCAGGCTGAGATTGAAACAATGAGTAATCTAATAGAGTAGGAATCTAGGGATTTATGTCAAAGGAAGCCTCAAAGAATTCTTCAGCATTGATAGGGGACTCACATCTCCTGTCAGAGGGATATCTGATATCAGAGATATCATTACGAGATGGCCTACCTATTAGGTCAGAGACTCTTTGATCCTGCTCGGGTAGAGTCTGTTTGGGATAGGGTTTCATACTATTCACCTTTGAAAATGAAGGGCACCTTCTGTTAATGTCTTGTAGAGTTTTCTCTAATTTTTCAATATTCATCTTATTAGCATCTGACTTTTGTTTATACATGTGCAGCTTACTCTTAGCTCTCCTATGGTGAGAACTAGAGCCAGTTGCAGAGAGGACTTCATCATCCTTCCCAAAGCTGATTTGGTTTTCATCTAACTGCACTCCACCAATTTTTATAGGGCTTAAATCAGAGGCATGTGAAAACACCGAAGTTTTATCATCGATCTCTGAATGGTTTCTGATATCCATGATCTTCTCATGTGTCTCTAGTGTCTCAAAGACGCTTCTGTTAAGGCCTTCATATTCCTCGAGTTTCTTCTTAACAATGTTCATTCTTTGTAGGCTGTCTTTGGCATTCTTTTTATACTTCAAAGTTTTGTTCTTTATATAATCAGCCATTTTCTTATTCTTCTTAATAAGAATACTATTCATCTTGGTCAGCTCGTTTATGTAGCTGGATTGGTCGGCACAGAGCTGTTTGTAGTTAGTCATATCCTTAGTCATCTCCTTGACAGGAGAGAGATTTAGTTTTGGTACTGGAGCAGGGGAAGTAGGACAATTGTAGCTCCCAGTCCCACCGCTTGTATCTGATATTTCTTCCATTATTTCATCGAGAGAGGTATCATTATTGTTCTGGATATCCTGGATGACCGCTACTAAGTTGTCAATTTCCTTTGTAGCAGATTGCAACTTATTTCGTAATATTTCGTTTTCTTTAATCACACTAGAAATTCCTCGACCTGAACTTGTATCATCTCATAAGTATTTCAGTTGGCCCAGTTTACTGCGAAGGTTAAAGTCACTTTTAATATATATAGACAAGATTTGTTCAATTTCATTCCACTTATACTCCTTGAGTTGTATAATATATTCCTTTCTGTCTAGTTGGTCCATTAAGTCAGCAATTTGGTCTTTTCAATTAGTCTCAGCTTCTTCTGCAGCTTGTTCAAAATATGATTTAATTTGCTCCAGAATCAAGCATTTATCCTCAGTTATTTTCACACTTTCATTCATCTCAGAAACCTTCAAATTCGCTTCTGAGATATGCTTCTTCTGCATCGATATCGTTGATTTCAAATCAGAGTTTTCTTGTACAAAAGACGCTAATATGTCTTTATTTATCCTAACTGTTTTATTTTAAGTCCTTGATCTCAGCCTTTAGGACTTTGACTTCTGAGTTGTTCTTATACTGCCTAATGCTTAGAGGCATCTCGTCATAGCCGTAATGGCTGATATCATTAAAGGCCTGGGTCATTACCATGCCTGCTCTATCTGATTCGGGCTTTTTGGCCATTTATGAAAATTAGGGTTTTTAGTAAATTTATTAAAATTTTAGAAATTTTGGGGTTTTGGGGTTTTGGGGTTTTGGGGTTTTGGGG